TAAGTTCTTTGATTAATCCCTCCCCCTCCCCCTTCCCTCTGAGATACCCATCTGTTGCATGTTTCAGTGTGCTTGGATATGTTTTGTTCATCATTTTATTTTGTTCATTGGATTCCACATATAAGTGATATGTGGTACTTGCCTTTCTCTGACTGGTTTATTTCGCTTAGCATAATACTCTTCAGGTCCATCTATGTTATCCCAAAGGGTAAGAGATCCTTCCTTCTCACAGATGTATAGTATTTCATGGTGTAAATGTACCGCGGCTTTTTTATCCACTCATCTACTAATGGGCAATTGGTTTGTTTCCAGTTCTTAGCTATAGGCTCCTTTCTTAAAAGCAACATAGCAACATGTATCAAGAAACCTGGAGCCCTGGCTGGTGTGGATCAGTTGGTTGAGTGTCGTCCCATGCACCAAAAGGTCGCCAGTTGGATTCCTGGACAGGGCACGTGCCCGGTTTGCGGGCTCAGTCCCTAGGTGGGGTGCATGTAGGAGTCGGCCAATCTATGTTTCTCTCTCCCCCTCCCTTTCTCTCCCTCTAAAAATCAATAAAAACGGATTTATTTTTTTTTAAAAAAAAAGAAACCTGGAAAATATTTAAAACCTTTGGCCCAGGAATTCCATCTCTAGGACTCCATCCTAACATGATAATCAGAGCCATGGACCAAGATTTATGTGTAAAGATGCTGACTGCGGCTTTATTTATAATAGTAGGATCTGAAAACAAATTAATGCACAACAGTTGGGCAACAGTTAAGTGAGCAACAGTATGTCCATGCAACTCTTTATATTAATGTTGATATATTTAATAAAAATTTGTTAAAAACTAATGAGAAAAATTCGAGTACAGAAATGTAAAAAATAAAGGGACAAGTCACTCTCTGTGATTGCTATGAGGAAAAAGAAGTTTTGTCTTTCCACCTGGGTTGCCAAGCCTGGAAAATGTGAATATGGGGCTGCCAGTGGCCATCCTCCCACAGTGAGAAGGGAAGCCACCTGAGAATGAAGCCAAGCAGTGAGGAGCAGACTGACAGGGGAAGAAAGGAGGCCTCAGAGGTGAGTTCTGCTTCTGGTCCCTTGAGACCCTGGTTTCTGCAGCTCACTCTTTGTGAGAGGCACTTTAGTGCTCTGTTAAATGACCTAATAAACAGTTTTTCTGCCTTGGCTTTTAACTAAACAAATAAAGAGTCACAGCTAATAAAACTGGGCCAGCTGCTTTGCTGGAATCAAATGATATTCTGTTTGTACTATAATCCAACAATCAATTAATTCTTTTAACAACTTGAAGTCCATTTGACATGAAATGAGCTTTGTTAAACACTAAAGGCCCCTAAATAATCGCCTTTCTTCATGGTCACAAACCATCCTGGGAATAGGTATCGAGTTCACTAGGGTATAGTGTCTGATACACATTTCTTCCTTTTATGAAATTCAGGACAGTGTTTATATTTAGTCTTATGTCATTTCCTCCAACATATTTTCTAAGATCCGTAAGAAAAGCTTTGGGGTGATAATCTAAAGCACTTTCAGTATCCTGAGATATAACCCATCTGGGTCTGAAGATTTTTAACTCACTTAAGGCAACTTGGTGCTTTCTACCACTGAACTTACCTTGACTTTAATTTCCTCTTACTACTATTTTTCTTATCCTTTACAGCTTGAGGATCATCTTTGATAGAGCAAAATAGTTGGCTATTTCTGTTTTCTTTCAGTTGTCTTATCATCTATTGTAGGATCCCAAGCAATGGGGTTATCTCTTCCTTTTTCTTCTAGCCCCTAATATTGAGCATTACAAATACCCCCTCTCAATAAAAAATAAGATCTTTGTTATTAAACCTCAGTGTGTTGTGTGCTGTAGACTTCCTGACTCTCCCCTTTCACATCTGCGCCCTTTTTATACCTTATGTGTCCCTTCTCCAAACCCTTGCCCATTAACTTGATTTCACTGGGCAGTGGCTTCTTTGAGTGTGTCTCTGATTTCTCCCTTATCCAGATCATTGGAGTTAGGTCAGAATATGGTCCTAAACACCTTCAACTCCTCTGAAACCATCTCTCTCTTTATAGTCTCTACCATGAAATCATATGAATTTTTAAAATATGATCTAGCTTTTTTAATTTTAAAAGTAATTCCTTCTTATAAAATAAAGTTTAAAGCATAAAGAAGCACATTATGGCAGACACTGCTGGCTATCCTTCACCCCTTCTCTATTGTTTGCCCAGTCACTCCAGACCACCTCCCGCCTGGGTAAACCAGTAAACTTCTTAGCTACTGGTAACCAACCCACACCATCTCTAATGAGGTCCAAACCCCTCTCAAATTTGTCCTTCTTGAGTACTCTTCCTCAGCCTTGTACCATGTAGACTTTCCTTATATCTTATAGTTACACTTTTATCACAATAAATTCTTCTCATTTAACTTTTCTTAAGCAAGGTAGAGAAGTAGGTAGAAGGGAGTGATCACCAACTAGTGGTGGGAGATACCATAGGAGTCTGGGGGCCAGCAGGGGCAGAAGGCCTCAGAATGCCTTGGGGGGAGGCCTCAGAATGCCTTGGGGGGAATGGAGGGGGCCGAGAAGGAAGGGAAAGCTAGGTGAAGGACAGACTGCTCAGTGTGTGATCTTGCTAGCCACAGGTAACTATGTGCAGGCCATGAAAGGTTTGCTGCTGCCTGCAGGCCTCCCTGGACTCTGGTTTCTGTGTCAAGAGGGCTGCAGAAAGGTTATTGCCAAGCTAAAGCTGTAAGGTCACACAGGGACCCAGTCTGGGCCTGAGGCTGGGCAGACCCCACTGGATGTTAAGGTCACACTCCAAACTTGTTTTTTGAAGTGATTTTTTTTTTCCTAGAAAAGTGAATTTTATTTTTTTACAAGAACTTTAAATTTTATTTTTCAATTACAGTTTACTTTCAATATTTTGTATTACTTTCAGGTGTACTGCATAGTGGTTAGACAATCATATGCTTTACAAAATGTTCCCTCTGATTATTTCCAGTACTCACCTGGCGTCATACATAGTTATTACAATAGACCACATTCCAAACTTTTGCGCTGTTCCAGAAACTGCAGGAATCTTTTTCCTGTAACACGCTTTAATAAGAAGGCTTAACATTGTGCTCCCTTGAAAGGAGAAATGCTTAAAAGAATTCCGTTATTTATCATAGAGCCTATGTTGAACCGAGTATTCAGAGCTGAGAGGCAGTAAATTGATAACTGTTGCAAGAACTCATGCTCAAAGTCATCAGGATTTGTGGGCTTTAGAACTCGTGAGGTTGGGGAAATCCTACTGTAGATGGCCTATAAACCAAGAATTCTGGTTTTTATAATGGGAAGTACCCTAATCAGCTCTATATGTTCATTGCAAATACGGACAACTCAGAGAACTATAAGTGTAAAGTGAAAATCCTCCATATCATTCACTCACCTAAAATAATCACTGTGTTAACAATTTGGCGTCTTTCCTTCCAGACTGCCAGCAAATAATAATGTGTGATTAACACAAAATGGGTACCATGCGGACTCAAAACTTTTTTTTTTACTTTAACAAAAATCCATGTGTCCTTCTGAGCCAATATATGCAATTCTTTTTTTTTTTTTTTTAAGTTATAATACGGTGAGATTTTGGAGTGATATCCCTGTCTAAAACCTTTCTTGATGCGGACGTACTGAGAACGAATCCCCCCAGCGCCCCCTTCTCCCCCCGGCTCCCGCGTACTCTGCGCCCTACGCGCTAAAGCGTCGCTCTCCGCACACGTTTCTCCCGCTCCGCTCGCACGCATCCAGCCCGCAGCGCCTCCTCCCGGGCCCCCGCGGCTGGCAACGCGCCCCAGGCTGGAGGAAGGGCCTCCGACTCCCCGCGGAGTCTAGAAGCGCCGTCCAGGGCGCAGCGCTTTACCGACTCCGCCCCTCCCCAGCTTCCTCTCCGGGTGGCGGGTCCGTAGCCTACGCCCGCCCAGCTAAT